AAAAAAAAAAAAACAGAAATAAGGAGAATAAAGGAATGAAATAAAATTATCTTTATTCTCAGATTATGTACCTATCAATCCAAAATAATCTTTTTTGTTCAGAGCTGAGAACCAAACTCACAAATGCTCTTCCACTGAGCTATAATCCCTAACCCAAAATAATCTTTTTTAAAATTTTTCTCTTATTTTTATTTTTCGCTCAAGACCAGGATTCAAACTCTTGATCTGATGCTTCCACTCACTGACTAATACTCTCTCACCTGAGCCATGCCTCCAACCCTGAAAACTAAACTTTTTATTTAAACCTGCCAGAAAAATCAAGTTTACTAAAGGCCTGGACTATAAAGTAAAAATGGCATATACCTGGTGCAATTATATTTCATACATCAGTAACAAACAAAAAAAACTGGAAAACAATTTTTTCAAAATTAGCATTTACAAAATAACCCCACCCAAAAAGAAAATCATAAAACAAGGAAAGTTTAACAAAATATGGAAAGATCTGGGTACCAAATACTAAAACATTCTTCTCAAATAAATGGAGAAAGGTACTATGTTCACTCATGGACTAGGAGATTCTATAGTAAGACTATGACTTTCCACAAATTGATGTATGAATTCAACATAACACAAATCAATTTTTTTTTTGGTCGGTCGTGGGGCTTGAACTCTGGGCCTGGGCGCTGTCCCTCAGCTCTTCAGCTCAAGGCGAGCGCTCTACCACTTGAGCTACAGCGCCACTTCCGGTTTTCTGGTGGTGTATTGGAGAAAGGAGCCTCACGGTCTCTCCTGCCGAGGCTGGCTTTGAACCGCGATCCTCAGATCTCAGCCTCCTGAGTAGCTAGGATTACAGGCGTGAGCCACCAGCGCCCGGCTCCACAAATCAAATTTTGAATGGGATACTTTCACTAGACCTCCTGTGAACCCTTATTTGTTTCCCAAAGCCTGATAGAGTTTCTCTGGGGTGGCCTAAGATGTTGGAGAAGAAAGATGGACATTAAGAATGCAATAAGAACAAGGGAGTTTTTTTTTTTCCTTCATTGCTGTTTTCATTTTCTTTTCTTTTGGTCTTGTGTGTTCAGTTATTTGTCTCTGGGAGGAGAAGAGTGGGCACAGAAATGGAGGGGCAAAGGGTAAACACATGCAGCCATGGTACCCACTGGACACAATGTTGAAAATCAATTATGCAATTTGTGAGTGGGGACCGGAGGGGAAAAACTGGGAGAGAGCAAGGGAAGGAGTGACACTGTCCAAAAAGAAATGGACTCATTACCCGACTTGTGTAACTGTAACCTATCTATACATCACCTTTGTAATAACAATACGAATTTTAAAAAAAATTAAATGCAATAAAAGCATGCAGGGAGAGGGAGAGAGGCCCCAGTTTCTGTTATCATGGGCAAGCAAGAGCAGGAACCAGGAAATGCCCCTCCCCTGCTACAAAATTCCATTCTCAACCCCCAGGAGGCCCACTCCTTAGACCAACAGTAAAAATAATGGCCCAATACCCTGCTCCTATCAAGGTCTGGCAATGTTACTATGGGAGTTAGAATGGGGGGTTCCTTAAAAAACCAAAAATAGAACTACTGTGGCTCCTGCTATACCACTATTGGTATACATCCAAAGAAAGGTTAAATCAATGTCCAATAGAGATACCCACACACCCAAGTCTATTTCAACACTCCTCACAATAGCCAAGCCATGGAATCAACTGAGGTGCCCAGAGCTGATTGAGGGAGGGGCAGAAAGAGAAAGACTAGGCAGATAGGGACAGAGGGCTGCCTGATGGAAACAATGCTTCCCCTGGGGCTGGGAAGGTGGCTCAGTGGTAGAGCTCTTTCCTTGCATGCATGAGGGCCTGGGTTCGATTCCTCAGCACCACATAAGCAGAAAAAAAGCCGGAAGTGGC